CGTGGGTTTTGGACAGGAATCAGATTTTTCATGTAAACCCTTAAGGTTTCCAGCTCCCCTGAGCTTATCAGAGCTGGTGGGTTAGCAGAGAGCTGAAGCCTTTTTATCTAGAAGAAATCCCACAGTTGTGGGGTGGCAACACTAGCCAGTATTTCAACTTGCTAATAGCAAATCGTGAAAGATCGATGGTTTATTTTCTTAGAAAAGGCATACATTTTATTTCTACACTGCCGCTTTCACTCCTTTGCTGTGGTGACTAGCATTGTTTTGTTAGCCTTCTGAGGGGAATAACTCCTGCAACTCCGCTAAGTAATCCCGCTTTTCTCTTATTAAAACAAAATTTCTGTTGTTTACATAGTATTCCAAAAATGACTTTTCTACTTTTATGTTTGTTTGTAATCTGTTAAATTTCTCCTGAATGCTTATAATTAGAAAAAGAGTTCCTTTGGAGAATGCTGCTGGCATGTTGTGGAAGTTTTATTTGACTGGAGAAACAAAAGCCCGACTCTTGATTGTCAGTAATTAAGAAGCTTAGTCTTTTTTTTTTTTTTTTTTTTTTTTTTTTTTTTTTTAACTTTTAGTGTTTGAAGAAGTTTTCCTTCCAGGATACTTCTTCCAGGTGTCTGTAGAGGAGATCTATATCTTTTATCTGATAGACTGGTAAAATTGAAACTCGAGCACTAGTTTGTGGATTTTAGAAGATATTGCTTATAGCCTAAGACTATTTAGTTGTAGAATCTTGCTTGTGTCTTTTTTCCTACAAGCACCAGTTAGAATTTTAGAACTGGAAACAGAAGTCTGTTACTTTTACAGGCTATGTTCCTGTTGGCAAGTTTTGTTTCCAGAGTGATCTTCACCATGCAGTTACTCCTCAGATAACCTCCACCTTTGACACTGGAATGGAATAATCCCCATCTTCCAAGCACTTATTCATTTGAGTGTTTAATTGATCATTCTTCTTAGTGTCTTTAGAATAGCCAAGCTTTAAGGTCCACAAAAGTAAATACTGTGACCTCTCACCGCTACATTTTTTAGCCCCTTTCATATTTTCTTGATGTCATTTCCCTTTAAGGCTTAGTTTTCACACTCACTGAAGCATAGAGGCAGACTCCTTACACATTAGAACACCACCAACTAGGCTGTTATATTGTAGGAAGACTGAGTAGAATAAGCATTTTTTCCATTTTCTTTTCAGTGGTGATTTAAAGTTTCAGATTCAAAAGTTAATCATAGACTCAAAATTGTACATCTAAAGGAGTCTTTAAAAATCGCATCATTTCAAGCCCTGATTTCTCTCTGCTGGGAGTGGAGGCCTGTGGCCACTCCTTGAGCTCACCACAGAACCCGAAGCCCATTGCACAACCATGAAAGTCTTGGGTAGAATTAATGGTTTCCCCAATGCCAATGATAGGGAACTATTTGTTAGTGTTAGAACAAGTAAAGGCAGAAAGTTATCATGTTTTCATCAAGACTGTAAGTAATAATCTCTTTGATCAAAAGCATTTAAAAACGTCCATCGAGACAAAATCCGAGCAACGGTTCATTTCTAGAGAGCCTTTACAGTCAAGAAAACAAATGGCCTCTTATAACTCATATTAGCAAGTATTAAGTTTGAAAAGAACAAGGTCAAACACAATTTCACAAAAACTTTAGTTTCTGCCACCTGCAAAGTGTCCCATCTGAAGCTGACATTCTAACAAAAAAACAGAAGTTTTATGTAGACAGCTGAGCCCCGTCCTCAGCGGGGTATGAAAAAATTTAGTTTATCAGGGAAAATATACTGAGTCCTTTTTTTTTGCATATGACTTTCACATAAATGAGCATGAGCCAAGGAAATTTGCTGGTCTCATTCATAACCATGTTTTGTATGTAACACATGTATTTCTCAAACGCACCAAGAGTCACTGCTATCATATTGTCAAGTAAAACAGATACGAGAAATAAACTGATTTCTTGTAAGGTATTTTGAAACCTCTTACTGATTTTATATGTTCCAGAAATTTTATTTTCCTCTTTTTCTTTGTTCTGTTGCAATAATGCTTTACTTACCATCAAAATCACTTCATGTTTGTAGTAGTTTCCTGGGGTAGAAATACCAAGTCATGTGATTGAAGCTAAAAAATTGTTAGAATCCCCAAGGTTGATTTTTTTTTTTTTTTTGACACCTGATAGTAAATAATTTCTGACAACTGAGATTTAAAATGTTTCCGTTAATTTTCTCTTCAAAGGATAATCCTCCTAATTCCTTGTAAAGTAACTCATCGTGTAGGACCTTTCTTTCACTGAGGAAAAAAAGGGGGGAGGGAGCTAAATGTCAGGGAGCAGTTTCTTAGTGCTAGGAGCCCCTTTTAGGGCCCGTGTGCTTGTGTGCGGTGCTGAAGCTCCATCTTCTGGTCATTCTGCAAAAGTGCACCCTGCAGATGGGTTCCAGATGCCCCAGTCCCAGTAGTGGGCGTGCTGTTCCAGAACTCTGTGGTAAGAATTAAGCATTTATTCTTAATTCAGAAATTAAGGAATTAGTTCTTGTGACACTCTCCTTTCCTGATCTAGAAAGTAATGGTGTGGTTTCTAATGGAAGAAAGGCATATTCTTAACATAGTGTCTGTTAGGAAACGAATAGAAAAATCAGTCTGTTAATCGATAATAACTTCAAGTTGTAAGCCCGCCACTTGAGGGGAGGGGATCCCTCTCCTGAGGATCCACTTAAACAATGATAATCATATTCTTTGTAAGAAGGGTGCAAAGGTTATTTTTAGGAAGCTTGGTGTGTTTTCCTTCTCAATCAAAAATGTATATAGTTTTGAAACCTTCAAGAGTAATGTGGAAATTGTTTTCTTGCACCTTTTTAAAAGAAGTTATAATTTTTAATATAAAAGTCAGCCCCCTTTATATTTCCTTTTAAAGTATGTCAGAGAATTAACATTTTGATATTAATTTTGTGAATTCTACAATAAATACCAGTGGCAGCTATGTAAACTTCAAAGGAAAAGTGTTATAAATCATTTAAAATTACACTCAGGACTCCTTTAATATAGAAAAGAGTCATTGATACAAATATTTTTTGTTCACTGTGTTATCACACATAACTTATTTTGTTATTTTAAAATATTGAATTCTGCAAACCTTATCATAAATGTAACATTCATAGAAATGCATGCAAATAAAGCACACAGCAGAGTGACTGAAGCTCAGGAAGTCTTCAATAAAATCCTGACCCAACAAAACAGCACATCAAATTATTTCATTTTAATTTCTATCAAACATACTGTCAGAATTTGTGAGGCCCGCAGGAGACAGTGCCTGTGGTGTCACATGATATGGCTCATATCATGGCAGCCTATGGAAGCAGGTTCCCCTTTTACTGTATTTGAATGATTTATTCAGTGGTTTCTCTCCTGCCTGTACCACCTGGAGAGCATGGCCATATCTGTTGTCCATTATTTCACCCCCAGGGCCATCAGATCCTGGCACAGAGGAGATACTCAATAAATACTTGTTCACGATCATTATAGAACTGACATTATCAGTAGCAAAAATTACCATGTATTTTGTCTTTAGCACCTGACAACAAATCTATACGCTTTTAAAATTCTCCTAAGTTATGAGGACTAGAGATCTTATTAAATAATATACTTATCAGTCCCTCAGCACTATGGAGGTAGTTGCTTGCGGAAGTTCGGTGACTATGGTGAGTCCAGAGATTTCATATTTAATCCTTCTCCTGGGAAGATAGTACAGCAGGTTTTCCAGTAACATCGCTTCTTTCTGTTCGGTATCATTTCTTTATCACATTGATGGGAAAAAGGAAATCCCGGCCAACCTTGAACCAAACGTCCTGGGGACTTGTTTTTGTTCTCGGTTATTTCCTTAAAGTTACAGTTTCCAAGAACCTGTAGATGTTGAGTGAGGACTTACTGCAGTTTGATTTGGAGATAGACAGTACATAACTGTGAAGAAGCAGTAGAAAGTAGAATGTCAAGTCTGTGAAAGGATGTGCCTTCTAACTGCGGTCAGAGAGCAGAGTCGAGATAACACTCTGAGGTAGACTGGTAAGCGGCACCTTCACCGTGGACCTGTAGAAATTCAAGCTGCGTCTTGGTGTTCTGGATGAGAGTTCAGTGGGCAGAGAGGAAGGGTGACTAAGGTCTTTCAGGTTACAAAGAATGAGACACGAGGCAGGGGAACCTAAGGTGTGTTTCCGTAGGGAGAGTGTGTGCGTGTCCTGTGTACAGTAGCCTCTGTAGATGTTTATTGAATTCAGTTTGCTTTGAAGATTTTTGGAAATTCAGCTGAGGGCTCAGCGTGGTAGTTCTAGTTGACCCTAATAGTTCTTGAGGTCAATTTTAGTTAAAAGATGTCTGCTGGGTTATTTGTCTTGGAATTCTGAGGGTTTTCTGGAAAACTTCTGAGAAGACAATGAAAACATCAGTATTTCAGAAATGTTAATTCGGGGAATTTCTTGACAGTCGTGTCAGGGTGGGCTTCTGGGATATTAACAGTGTGAGGTGGAGGAAGGATCCAAGCCACGCTGCTGGCACCAGGAGCCAAAGCCCGCATGCCAAAGAAAGAAAGAACAGGAGCAGGGGACCTCAGTGTTAAAGGGAGAGGTCAAAGATGGATGCTCTGAGTCTGCTCTATCCAGAGCGAGTCAGAACTCTGAGACTTCCCTTCCAAGTGCCAAGTTGTTTTTCAAAAAATGATTTCTTACCCTGATTTTCAGTTAGTAGAACCCTCCCGGCCCAGTTCCCAAGCTCCACTACAGGGTTTGTTGCACCTTGACGTGAAGCCCAAAGGCCTGATTGTCTGCAGCCAGTCTGTCATGGTGGGAGTGACTTAAAAGCTATTTAGAGAAAGTATTTTTTGCTTTTGCTCAATAAATGCTTTATTTGAGATGGTGGAACAGTTGAGCAAGGCTGGACTCAGGGAAGCCGCCCAACCGTCCGGTCACCCCAGCCCCTGCCGGCTACGTGACCTACGTGGAACACCTCCCTTCTCTGCAGGCAGTGCGGGCCTCCACAACCCCATGCTGGATCTCGACGGCGACATGCGACCCTCCATGCTGGGCCACCTCAGCCAGACGGCCTCACTCAAGAGGGGCGGCAGCTTCCAGTCTGCTCGCGACGATGGTGGGTACTCCCTACCCCTACCCGGTCTTTTAAATTGGAACTCTGTAGTAACTTCAAACACTTTTCCTTTGGAAACTCCCATAATTAGTGCTAATACAGTTGCCTCAGTGCGAACAGTGGTCACCTCTCTGCTTATTAAGTTACTGGCCAGAAATTTAAACAATTAAAATACATATTACAAAGCACATTTGAGAAATAGCATTGGACTTTCTTAAAGAGTCACTGAGCATAGGTCAGTGTTTATTCAACACTTTGAGCTCAAGTCCAGTTTTTTCCCCCATCCCCTTCTGTGGTTGAATTTTTGAAAAGGTGCCCCAGAAAAACTTATGTGGGAAATTTTGTAAAGATGAAATTTGCAACAATAATTTCTGGGGTCAGCACAGAGAATAGATACCTTTATAATGAATTTTAAAATTTGGCTTGGAAAGAACGGTTGCTTGTCAACTAATCAGAAATTATTTGTTGGTCATCTTTTTTCCCCTGATACAAAGCATCTCAAATTATAACTAAGTTGCATTTCTTAGTTTCTAAAGTTAACTTTTTACCTATTGTCTGTTTACCTCCATGAGATGCAAAATGTGCCACCTTAGATGCTATGGGTCTCCAGGTATTTCTCACCCAATAATAATTACAGATACAAGAAATCCAAATAGGGTAACAGAAATACCTTACTTTATGTTCAAGTCAAAAATCTCTAAAGCTTATTTTAAAGTATTTTATGTTATTCTTACAAGAATGTACTTTTAAGTATATTATTACAAGTTTAGGGCATTTTTCTAAGTTTTTATTAATAAACACAAATGAATGTTCCATCCGAAGAGCACCTTAAAATGAGATGACTCATTTATACTAAATGAAGGTCAGCATTCCTTCTTCTTGTCCTGTTCCCCATTTCCTAGCCTACTAAACACTAGTATAAACAATGAATTAGTATAAACAAAACGAATATAAACAAAAACTAGAACTATTTGCTTCTGCATTATGTGGTTTATAGGGTAACTCTCTAAGCAAATACAGCTAGTGTCCGACTCTAGAGAGCAGCCCCCTGCGTTTTTTATTTTTTTAAATATGTCCTTTAATTTGTAGGTTATTTTATCAGATCTAAAAACCCTCCACCCTACTCCTTCTGTAATTCACTACCACAAACTGGCATGCTAAACAGGCTTAATATAATTAGAAATGGTACTTGACACTGACTGTAATGAATGATATCATCTTGAGTAGTTCAAATCTGTCCTGCCTGGGTTTTCAAGTTTCGTGGATTCATTTTTATCAAATCTGGAAATTTTCATAAAAATTTGGAAAAGATGGCCATAATTTTTCCAAATGTTTTCCTGTTCTGTGTTCTTTTCCGGAATTCCAGTTACATGTATTTGAAACTAGTAGGTTACCTGTAAATCACTGCCCTCTCCCCCAGATTTTCCATTCTGTGCTTTATCATAGTGAGTTATTATGCCTTCAGCTTCTCTGATCTTTTATCTACAGTATCTAACCTAAAAATTTAGGAATTAAATTTTTCATCTCTGGAATTTCCATTTTGCTTCTTTTAAATATCTTCTTTCTCTGATTATTATTTTTATTTTTTTCTTTAAATATTTGGAAGTTGTAATTGTTGGTTAATTCTGTGATCACGATCATTTCTGGGTCTGTTACTTTGGCAAATTTTTCTTCTGGTTTCTGGTTATGATTCACATTTTCCTACTTTTTGAAATGACTACTCATTTTTTGAGCAGTTTCCTAGACATTGAACGTTCATTGTTGAGTGTCTGGATTCTGTTGTTTTCCTTTAAAGAATGTTGGACTTTATTTTCCCAGTTGCTTACAGATAAGTTTGATCCATCCAAGGCTAGGTTAAGCTTCACTAGAGCAGGTCTAGAGTAGCCTTCATTCTAGAGGTATTTCAGTCTAGAGGTATTTGGGTCTCTATGGAATCACTCAAGTGATTGATGAGGACTGTTCCTCTGGATGCTCATAGCTAGAGGGTCTCCCTGCCCTATATGATCTCTGGGAATTAGTGGCCTTATAATTCCTTGGTGATTCTTTGCCTGGAGTGGTGTTTCACTCCACATGTACATAACCTAGGTCTCAGCAGACTTAAGATGATCCTTGCATAGATTTTCAGAGCTTTTCTTCCTACTGACTCACGCCTTCCTCTTTTTTAGAAGTCTTCCCGGCATTTTCCAGTCTCCCATCCACCACCCCCTCTTCTTTGAACTTTGCCATTCCAACTTAGAAAAGCCACTGAGATTTGTTTAGTTTCCTCCTCCTTTGCCTCTGTTGTCTAGAAATTGTCCACAGGCAGAAAGCCAAGGCAGTGGTGGGCTCCCCACATGTTTCCCTCCTGTGAGGATCTCAGTGCTGTGCTGCCTCTTGTCCAATGTCTGAAACCAGTGTCTGTTTATATATTTTCCCACAGTTTTTCTAGTTGTTTGTGACTAGAGGTTAAAGCCAGTACTTCTTACTCCAGTATAGCTAGCAGTGCAAGTAAAATAACTCAAGTTTTATTTCCCTGAAATTTTATTACTTGACCTTGGAGTATTATGAAGGATTGCTTACAGTAAACAGCAGGAATGAGATGAGAAAGCTCATCTCAACTTTCGATCAAAGTCAAATTTATGAGTCTACAATCATTATGATACCTGTGGTGAAAAAAATAGGCATTCTTGCCGTATCCCCTTATTTCTTTACATCAGTCTCAGGAAATAACTCTTGACATTATTCTGTTAGTGGTAGAGCATGTGAGAATTTAACTGGGACATCCTGGTTTCCATAAGAAAAGAAAATTCATAATCATTTTTCAGATACAATGATCAGGATTTAGAATGAATGATAGAAGGGGCCTATTAACATATATACATGCATGCATGATAGATTCATCCATACATGCATGAATCATACATGTGTTTACTCATACCTATAGGCACACATCTACATTCATTCAAGCATTATGCACATTCATACATACATGCATGCATTCACATATGCATACATTCATAGCTCATGCATTCATTCATGCTCGCATTCATATGGACACTGTATTCATTCATACATATGTGCATATATCATACACACATGCAAACCACATGCATTCATGCATACTCATATGCATGTGTGCATACATAGGTATGAAGAATCTGCTAGTAATAAAAAGACCAAGCAAAACATGAGACTAAGAATTGTACTCTGTCGTCAGGCAGGAAGCTGCAAGACCCTTGACTGAGCACCAACAGATTAAGTAATGGCAGTTTCCGGCTCAGTCTGATCACCTGGCAGTGCTGTTTAGTAGCTGTGTGAACCCTCCACACTATGGTGAATTCAGTCAAAATAATTTTACTGATTAATCTGCCATAAAAGATTTCAAGCAAAGGAATCTTTTTGGAAACTGGTTTTATTATGTTTTTATTTCTATTTGTCCAAATACTTTTCCCATCATAGTAATAGAATCAGTTCTGTTAGAATGCTTACTAATTAAGCAATTTGACAAGAAAGAAGCAGTGTGCACTTTCTGTTTTATAAAGAGAAATTTCAGTAATAAACGTAGCATAAGTCGCTCTATTTTGTGCTTGTTGTCCTGTTTTCAACAGTGTGAAACCCCAAAAGACTTGGATGTTTTATTTTTTCTTAGATTCCTTTGTTATGGAAGGAGTCTTTGCTACATGATTGTGCTTGAATGTGATCCCTTCTGCTACCTTGGTTCCCTGTTGAATACGTACTGCATGGGGTAGACAGTGGCATTTCTAATGGTTGATATCAGCCTCAAATTTAATTGTGGCTCCTGCTGGGCCCCTGCTGTTTGAAGGCATGCCTGTGTGAAGAGAAATAAAATACCTCAAAAACAGCAAGATTGCAAAGCCAAGGCATCCCCCACGAAAAGCCCCCTCCACCCCACCCCCGTCCCCGCCCACCGCTGTGCCCTCCTGGCCCATCCTGCCCCTCCCCTGCCTGCCTCTCCCCACAGAGAAAAGCTGGCCCAGGCCCATTGGTTAAAACACATTCTCTGTGCAGGCAGGCGCAGGCAGCCCATCAGCAAGTTCGAGTTCCACAGCCAAAGTGGGACGGAGTGGGGACATGTTCTAGATGGGCGGCAGCTGTTTAGTCAGAGAGATTGAAGAGGATGTTCATGGTATTTTATTTGCCCGCCTTCCCTTAGCTTGGAGACACAGAACTCCTCACCGGGTGGAATTTGTCGAAAAATTGACCAAGCTTGTGCTGAGTCAGCTGCCTAACTTCTGGAAACTCTGGATCTCATATGTCAACGGGAGCCTATTCAGTGAGGTATGAGCCGAAGCTTGGCTATAATTGTGGCTCAGGTATTGTGAATTTCTGGTCTTAATAATTTTCAATTTTAAAGTGACTTTTTTAAAATCTTAGAGCCCAACACCTCCAACATTTGTCAAGTATTTTAGGATTGGTTGAAAGTGTTATAAAGCCCTAGTGCCTAATGACTATATCATCGTGGACAAGCTACTTAATTGTTTTGTGACTTGCTCCCTCAGATGTAAAAGAACATAGTTAGGGGACCCATCTCAAAAATGAGAGTCAATTAGAGACCAGGTGAAGCATGGTGAGAGATTTGGAATTGAGTGTACCGCCAGTCAAACCAAATTCTGGTTGAAGTGATCATGCAGTGGTCTGTGGACAGATGACAAATTAACAGTTTGCAGAAAAAGAAAAAAAAATTCCATAGAATCAAGGAGTTGCCTGCTTGAAAAGAGTGGGGAGAGCCTGTTAACTGGCCCCTGTGTGATCAGCTTCTAGAAGTCATTATAAGCTTTTACATTTTCGTGACAAGCCACACGGGTCAGCCTTGTTACTCTCTGGCATCACTTCCAGTGTCCCATGAAAGGCCCCCAGGTCCTGGGATCCAGGGTTCCTGCTGCCTAGGAGCCCCACTGGTCACTTGGAGGGGAAGGTGGTTGGGGAGAACTCTGCAGCTCTGAGAGCTGGGCGGGGTAGGGATGAGTCTCTTCCAGCTGCATAGAGAGGACATGTGGACAAGAGATAGTCCATTTTGGTTTTCTTTGCACCAAGGCACACAGCTTAGGGTTTTAAAACCTCTCCTCCTCAGTGGAAAGTAGTCAGATGTCTTGCAATTCCAGCACTTTGTCCAGTCTGATTTGACCATGGACCAAAATTCATGCTGATATTTAAGAAATAGAGCGTTTATTTCCCTGCTTTGTGTATTTCAATTTTATTTGCCCACAGTCTGTTTTCTTTTAAATTTAGTGGACCCCTAGATCCTTGTTTATCTGTGGGTTTTTTTTTTTAAAATTTTATTTATTTTTGTGTAGAACTGGGGTGTAGGCCAGAGATGCAAGGGGTAAGAGGATTCACCAGAGAGAGAGAGAGAGTAGGGAACAGAATAGGCCGATCTACTGAAATATACTGCTGAGGGAAGCAGCAGGTGAGACAGGAGAGGTCTGCTGCACTGTGTGGGTCAACTCTCTGGCCAGGGATCAAACTCAGGCGATAGCAGTGATAGCGCTGAAACTTAATACCTAGGCCACCAGGAAGGCCCGATAATCCCTGTTTATCTGAATGGCTGGTTATCTAACCCACTAAATGTCCTTATACATGAAAAACAATGGACTTAGTGGGTGAACTGTAGGTTTATTTTTCTCCCTTTCTTTAATCATTAAGATTATATAGAAACTGAATTTAATCAGTGTGTCAGTTACTGTACTTTATAAGTGAATTTCAAATATCATAGCAATCAATAATGTATCACAACATTCCTAGGCTCCTTTTGTATCGCTGGATTATGTAAAAGCTCTCTTGAAAAGTTAACTATACAGAGAAAGTCATTCTTCCATAAAATAAATGTAGAGTTTTGCAAAGTTGCTTAGGCAAGGGAATACTTTAATTCCAGTCTTCCAGGTGCCCTGAGGGTTCTGCCCTCAAACATGTTTTCATCAATTTGCATTTTATTCATCTCACTGGGTGAGAGGTGTGTGGTTTGTGCTGCTGAGCACAGGCTGTATTCCTGCCCTCTTCCATGGAGGGAGCTGCTGCCCCCTCAGATCTTACAAAACTTAACTCTTCTTGGCACGATTATCTCTGAGCCAGATAGCCCGTGAGGATGGCGGGGGCTTCTGCTGCCACAGCAGTGCCTGCCACCAAGCTCACGCTTTTCCTCTCAACACTGGCCACACAGTGGAAGCATCCAATTTCTGCTGCCCACTAGCTCCAACCTCAGGCAATGGCTCTGCTGCCCTGTGTGCACTGTTTTGAGAATGAAATGAATTAACTAAGTGTAATCTTGTAGCAATGCCTGACCCTATCACAAAGAATTTGCTCTTACTGTTTAGAATAAAGTTTTATTCCAGTGTTTGAACTCTTATTAGCCAGGTACCTAGTAGGTATTCAGTGAACAAAGTTCAGCAGCATAAATGCTGGACCCACGGGCCACTAGGATAATGCTGTGTACTATCAAGATGGGTGGCCTCACCTAAAGAATTGGTCCCTGAGAAAATCGGTGTTAAACCTAGTTACTTATTTTTCCTTCCAGCTGAACCAGCTCCTAGAGGTGGCCCACACACGGGATAGCAGCTGCCTTAAACTGAGCCTTTTAAGAGTTGGTGAAATTCCTGAGAGTTTTTGATATGGGATAGTTTAGTGAAAAGGGAATATATTTTCCTTGTTATAGGTTACACATAATTGTGATTTTAAAAAAATGAAATATTTAGTTGTACATGAAAAATAATTGAGCTACTTCAGAACTCATGGGCAGCCAAGAACACTGAAAAAATACATTCATTTAGTTGTACTGAGTTGGACAGCCCTAAGGCTTTCTACCAATTTATAAATCTTTCTTCAGTTTATACTCATAATTGTTAAGTATAATTCATTCTACATTTTTAAAACTATTTTCCTTCTGTTGAAAAGTTAGGAAGATACCACAGGGCAGTAGAAACAAATGGAGGCTGTAGGGATGTGTGCCCACTCAGGGTAATCTATGAGTGAGAGCCAGAAACTTAAATTAATAATAGAAAAAGTTCTGGGGTTTTTGATAGTTGGTGTTTAATCGCAACAAGAAGGCTTGGTCATACTAAAACACAATTGACTTGAAATTTCTTTTTTTTTTTTTTTTTTTTGTTATACAACTATCTTGCTTTATTAAGATCCCAACCGTTAAAGATTTAGATAGTTTCCAACAGCTTAAAAAATAGTCAGTTCTTCAAACTAGTCAAAACCATGTGAACTAACATATGTGAATCAAAACAGTGAAATCTAGCCGTTGATGTTACCACAAAGTAGTTTTGGTCTGTGTGTGCAGGAAAGAGTTAGGTTTTTGTTAACGAAATGGTCAATAGTAGGTTAAGATCTCAGCCTCAGATATATTTTAAGTATCTGGGAGTGAAAATCACAAAACATCCACATGACTTTTATACATAATGAAGTGCATTTTAAAAAGTTCCATAAGTTATAGTATGTAAATTAAAATGTACTATATGTTCCACACTTAGATTTTCTTAAAAAAATAGGGGAAACCTTACATAACTCAGACTTGTGAATGTTCAGCTCTTAATCAGATTGACACAGTGAGCTGCGATTTTTAAATTAACAATCGCAAGAGGTGTGCTTTCTAGTTAATCCCCTGCGCCCTGTTTTCCATAGATTTGAAGATTAGTCCTGGAAGTTCGCAGAACAGTCCTCTCCAGGAGTGGGCATGTTGCATTCACTAAGCACCTTGTGGGGCGTGATGCTATTCTGGCAAAATTTATCCTTAATTTTGACATGATTTTGGGGGGGGGGGAGTAATTTGTTTTCACTCTTTGATTAAAATACCTTTCACAGAACAAATGTCCATGCAGTCATCTTCCCACTCAACAGGCACACTCGATCATGTTCAGTGCTAGGTGCAGGGGAGGTATCAGCCACAGAAGCTACATGATGCAGCCCACACTCAGCGCTGATGGGAACCCCTACCTCCCAGTGCCCCGCTCCTCCCTCCACAGCACACAAAAGAGGTCTGTGCCAGGTGGGCTTCAAAAAAAGCACCATGAGGATGTTGCTTCCATTTCCAAGCATATATATAGAAGGAAAAGATTTCCTCCCAGAAATTGGCTCACGTGGTCACACGCCGACAGCGCAGGTTCTGAGGTGACTGGTGGGCACTGGGAGCCCCTGGGGGCTAAGCTCGGAGCTGGGAGCTGCTCTTTCAGTTAGAGTCCCAAGATCCGAAAAGACCCATGTCCCAGCTCTTAACTGTCGGGCAGGAGGAGTGGCCATTGCTAGAAGGAGGGTGCGCCTTTTCTCACAGCCCATCCTTTGATTGGACGGGTCCCGCCCTATGGGGGAGGGGGGCAGTCTGCTTTCCTCAGCCTACTGGTTCACATCGTAATCTCATCTCCATCCTCACAGACACACCCAGAATAATGCTTAACCTGGTGCCTGGGTGCCCCATGGCCCAGTCAGGTGACCCATAGAATTAACCACAATGGGGTCCCTAATGGATTATGACGTACATGATTCCATTTCACTCAGTGGGGTGGTCCTGAGCCCACATGTTTACACAGAATTCTCCAGCTTCTGCCTCCCCTCCCTTTTGTTGCCATCTGACATCCCCAGGAGAAGCGTCAAGTCAGGGGCACTTTTCTGGAGCTTGTTGCAGGGGTCTGCCCAGCAGGCCTCCTTCACAAGCCCAGTCTGCCACATGAGATTTGGGGCATAAGGTTGACAAGATGTTCATGCTTTCTGAAATATTCCAGTAAGTCCTGAAGGACCCTAACCCTAGGTGATCCTCTCGCAGCCTATATTCATCTAGTACCAGAACAACCTCTGTATGCCTGGCACATGCACACAGACACACACGTACACATATACACACATTGCACACACACTATTTAAAACACACCTATACAACATAAGTGAAACAGTGACCAAGACAAACAGGACCTCTCCTGACCTGGAGAGAAAGACCAAAATAAGCTAAAAAATAAAATCATACTAAATTCTGGCAACAACCATAAAAGAAACGAATTGGCTCCTAAGAAAGAGAATATCAACAGTGGGATAGAGACCAGGAAGCTTTCTTGGGGGTGATAATGAAGCGGCAGCTTGAAGCGTGAGGAGGAAGAAGCCACACCAGGATCGGGGACGGGTGTGCTGGGCACAGCAAACGGAAAGCAGCCTGACATCTTTGAAGGACAGGAAGGATCGGACACCTGAGGGGCCTGAGCAGTGGGGGAGGGGACCAGGAGCCTGGTGTCCTGCCTAATAACTGGACCTGATGTTGGTTTACCAAGGCTGCTGTGGTTGCCTATTCAAGAATGAATTGGCAGAGGTTGAATATCAAAGAGCGAGAGCTCCTTGAGGCTGTCCAGGCAGGAAAGGATGGTGCTGGGATTCAGGTTTCATCTGGGGAGTTGGAGAGAAAAGGCTGATTTTGGGTTAGACTTAGGGATGGAGCGGGTAGGGGGATGTGGAGAGAGGTCAGGTGCAGCTCCTCCGAGGGCTGCTCATTAAGCCAGATGTCATTTACAAAACCAGAAGGACTCGAGGAGGAAAATACCAATTTTTGATTTTAATGCATTGGATTAGAAATTCCTGTGACTTATTCCAGAAGAGACAGCCAAGGAGGCAATCTGAAACTCAGATCTGGATCGCAGAGGAAAGATTTGACTGGGGATAGAAGTTTGCAAGGCATTTGGTGGAAATGGTATGTGAAGCCTTGAGAGTAAATTGGAGAAGAGAGGGGGGAAGAAAGTGCCAAAAATAAGGCCTGACAGAGCAGCCACGATCACCTCGTTAAGCAGGGCCGTTCACTCACTTTTCCACACCTAGTACAGGATGCACCACAAGTGTGATTTTGAATCAGACCATCACACTTGACAGAAACAGAAAGTAGGCTAACGGACACCCGCCATGTGGACTTACCTGCAGGGCCATGACTCACAGGCAGAGATGCCTGATACTGCTTCCCCCCCACACCACCCCCCCGAGCACACCAGGGAATCTCCAGGCTCAGTACCTCTGCCTCCACGCCCTGTCTCAGGCATCCACATGGCAGGGCGCTACATCCTGTAGTTGGGCACTGTGGCTGCTGACCTGGTGCGCCTGGCCCTTGTGCTGACTCCCGGCGCTGACCTTCCTCATTTCTCACTCTGGCTGTTAAGACCTTCTCAGTTATATCAGAAATCAAGGGGCAAAAGCCTTCAATCTCTGAATTAAATCCTGATGGACAAAGAACTTTAATTTTTTGAGTGTTTTTGGCCAATGAACTTAGGAGTTGGCTTATTGAATTCTTATTGAGCTGAATTTGGGGCTTTGTTTTGGGTCTTGTTCTTTCCAAACAAAAGTGCGTTTCTACAAAGACAAAACTAACCAAAGTTGCAAAGTGAATGTAAAAATGTTAATCACTGTAAAAGAACTGCAGCCTGACCAGGCAGCAGACTCTGTCTTATTGGGTATGTTGATGCAGTTGTTGAAGACACTCAGCAACTTTTTCCTTCCTTTTACTCATTCATGTCAATAGTGTTCATCACAACCAGCCCTTCATAATGCTTCTCTGGCCTATGCCAAAATACATGGACCATTACTTGTATTTTAAAAATGGCTTGAAGTCAATATGATAGTCATTGATTAGGCAATTGTTCTTGCCTTTGAAGTTCTCTTGCCACACCTTTAACCACTAATAAATACATGAGTGATTTAACTTGCAATCATATCTTTTGATTATGGTCATAAGTTTCCCCATTTTCCTTCACATTATGCCATTTTGTTACTACCTCATTATTTGGCAAGTTTCCTAATTGCACCTTCTAGCATATTTTATATCATAATGTTGATTTATGAGAGAATTGGGTAACAAAAAAGTAACTGCAAAGCATTGAAACGGTTTCTTCTCTTAAGCAGTATAAATTAGTTTCCCCACATCACTTTGAGGAGAAAGAAAAACCCCAGAAGAAAGCAGGGTTATCAGTAAATAGGCCAAAAATGATGTCTAGACTCTCGCTCTCCTAAATTGGACTATAAATCCCTGACAGAGAAGTAACATAATTCTCTTAAATAAAATGCCAGAGACAGTGTTCACATTTGTAAGTATTTGTTATGGGAATGAAAGTCCCAAGGTAGCTAGATATTAATGCAGAGTTTATTCTTCCTTTTATTTTTGTACTAATAAGCAATGATGTATGAGGGAATGATGCTTTTAGGTTTAACCATATAGAACTGCTGATGAAAATGGCATATTTCAACTTAATACTTAGGTTTACTTATGGAAGTTATACTTAAAGGTTTTAAGAAGATGTGTAACTGGGCCTCCCCTGGTGGCGCAGGCAGTTGAGCGCTGCACTTTGAAGCTATCCGCAGCCTCTGCAGCGCCGCAGCCTCTTCCTGGCTGGCCGGCAAGGTTCCCACATGGCGCAGAAGACTTCTCCTGTCTCACGCACAGCAGTGTATTTCGTCAGTCTGCCTGTTCTGTTTCCCGCTTTGTCTCTGGTGAATCCTCTCACCCTCCCATGATTCTGGCCTGCACCCTGGTTCTCATATAAATAAATAAATAAATAAATCTTTAAGAAAAAAAAGAAGGTGTATAACTTCTTGTTAGAAATAAAAAAGGATTTCCTGTTAGTTATCCTTTAATCAGAAACTTAGATTATTTCTTACATATTTCTTTTAGTCAAATTGTTCTTCTTTATGTGCGACTATTAAAGCATGTATTTTTATATGTTTTAGGGGTTTTTTTACATGTTATTACTTTCTAAAAGTCAACTAAATATGTTTCATGTTTTTATTGTTTTTCAATTTTGAAGACTGCTGAGAAGTCAGGCCAGATTGAAAGATCAAAGAATGTCAGGCAAAGACAAAACGACTTTAAGGTAAGCTCAGGACAAGTACGGAGACTTCCATGGGGTAGGATTTTGGTCCACCAAAGTCACTGGAAGACTCGACATTCAAGTTGTTCATCTTTGTTGGGCAGAATCCTTTAGAGTTGATTCAGCCAAGGCAGCGCCTTGTAATGCACTGTCGCTTGTTCACTGTTGTCTAGAAAATGATTCAGGAGGTGATGCACTGTCTGGTGAGGCTGATCCGTGGGGCCCTGCTGCCCCACAGCATCACTGAGGGCGGGGCACGGCTGTACGGAGGCTGGGAGGTGAAGTCTGAGCTCTCAGGCCAGTGGCTGGCTCACGTCATACAGACTATCAGGTAAGTGTGGAATTGTGTTGAGGCTTTTTTTCTCCTTTTGGGGGGGGAAAAAAAAACACTCAGCATACGATACAATTTTTAATACATTCAGCCAAGGATCATCTTCTCTGTCTTTCTGCCTCCACCTTTTCCCACATGTCCTGAGTCACTTACATCTTAAATAAAATGCCAGAGACAGTGTTTATGTCTTCAGACCCAGTGTTTATGTGGGAGGAGCATGTCATACTGTGTCTGCATCTTTTCATTGCTTAATTCAGTGTTAAGTGTGGGTCAGGGTTATAGCCTTGTGCTTCCTTTGCTTAGAGGCTCCACCATGAAGGATGAGGATGGGGATGGGATGGTAGAGGACTCACCTCCTGAGCCCACCGTCTGTCCACTTTGTCTTCCAGGCTTACTTACGAATCGTTGAGCGCCCTTGAAATTCCTAATGACATGTTACAGACCATCCAGGACCTCATTCTGGATCTCCGGGTCCGGTGTGTGATGGTCACCCTTCAACGCACAGCTGAAGGTGAGTCAGGAGGGCAGGTCCTGCTGGACAGTGACCACCTGAACATGCTGTCTCTTTCCCGCTTCCAGACCCTTGAGATTGAGAAGATTCCTCTTAGGGAACACTAAGAGGAGTAACTGTTCAAGGGGATTTTTTTTTTTTTGCTATCTTTTCAAATGCTTTTTTTTTTTTTTGAGATGCCTCCTCATGCAAAAATTAAGATGGATATGCTTGAAAAATATTGAAGGATGTAAGCACATCCTTATGGCAGATGGTAAGTAGAAAGACTGGAATTAGAAATAGGTAGAAAGTGGGATCCCAATTTTGAAAATGTGCATAGATATTTAAAATTATAACTTTGAAATATCAATGTAAAACTCAGAAGAAAGGCTGTTATCTGTGGCTCTGTGGGTGGTAAAAATTAGAAGTGAGGCTCACTTTCTTTACACTTTGTAGAATTTTCAGGATTTCATACATAAAGATTATCATTGTGAAGCAGTCTTTTGAAGAGTAAAGATTTTCCAAAGCTGTCAAGAACAGCTTTGTAACGGTTTACAAAAGCCCAAGCCATGGCTGTCTGCCTTAAGGACTTTTAAGAAGGAAGGTCACATCCCTCTGGAGTCAGTGATGAACACAGTCACGGGCCACCTAGTGTCTTGGTCAACGACTAGCTTCCTTTGTGACACGGCACCCCCCCCCCACCCCGATTCCTATTCCTGGTGAAGAAGTGACCTTCAGAACCGCCTCTAGCATTTCACGCTAGCAGTTTGCAGAACATTGAAATCGCCTTACAGTGCATTTCTCATAAGGTATCCCCCATCATTGAAGGGTGAGTGACCTCTGCTTTGTAAACAGAAGTGGGGTGGGGTATAGTGAGAAGCCCATTGTGCCCTTGTCTCCTCAGACCTGAGACAGCCTGCCATGCTAAAGATTCAGGTGGGTGCCATTCCTTCAACCAAGCAAGAATGGAACTGCCTGGTCTGGAATATATAGGGTTAAAACAATCTAATTTGTTCATCAGAAGTTTTAGGGGAAAGAAATGCTTTTGTTTATCTTATATATGGTCAATATCATCAAAATTGATAATTAAATAGTAAATCATTGCCTCAAGTTGTCATTGGACCTAGCCTTGCAGTCTCCAAATTGACTATGCAATAAAATAATTTATTTACATTGATGTTTTATTAGAAACATCCAGAAAACAATATCCACGTAGATACTTGAGTCTACCAGATTGATATTTTAAACGTAGGTTTAAAATATCATTGTAAAACATTGACATGTCATTGTCATTGTAAAACATGTCATTGTAAAACATGTCATTATAAAACAATGACAAGGCATAACCTTTATAGACTTTATCTCTGTGAAGTTCGGTGAGGTAATTACAGTGGCACTAAGTGTGTGCTTGTTTTCCCATAGAAATAAAGAGATTAGCTGAAAAGGAAGACTGGATCGTGGACAACGAAGGACTGACTTCTCTGGTAAGTTTCACTTATTTTCAATAATCATTAGAATAAATGATTAATTATAATAATAAGGAATATACACTCTCTGAATGGTAACTAAATTGTTTCTGGAAGTAAGAAAATAAACTTCTTGAAGTTTCCCTTCTCAAAGTCATTTAAAGTGAGCACTAGCTGTAAGTACTTAAAAGGGAACAAAAGAAGTGGGTTTCTTTTAGAGTAATCTTCATTCTGTATCAGTTGCTGGGTTTTGTTTGCATTACATTTTTTTATCATGCTTGATCCTAAGTTTCCCAGCAAATCAAATTTTTTGGAAAAGCAGGATAGAAAAAAAAAAAATGCCATTTCTGTTCCTTGAAGTCAATGGCAAAACACATAGAGAGAAGCACCACCATACTGCTCCAGTGCACGGCGGCAGGCAGCAGTGATAGCATTGGCCTGCTTGTACTTAGATAAGACTCATAGGTTTTCATATACCTTTTGAAATCATTTTTATGATCTATTGTGGTTTCACATCGGTCTCAGGGATCCCCACAACAACTCTGCAGTCAGGGTGTCAGTTCAGTTTGATATTCAGCTGCTCAAACATCCAGTGGCTTGACCCAGGTGGGCAGCATCTTCTCTGTCACACTAAAAAGGTTGGGAGTGGTGGGGGCCGCTTGGCCATGCAATCAGAGCCCAGACCTCTTCCGACTCTCATCCTTCGTGGGTCTCTGGCTCAGGATGGCCTCCTGATCGCAAGCTGGCTGCTGCAGTGCCAGCCATCATGGCCTTATTCCTGTCCAGTGGAAATTCCAGCACTGTCCCAAAACATCTATCCTTAGATCTAATTGGCCAGAATTTATCCACCCCTGTCTTAAATAAGGGCCAGGAAAAAAAGCAGTTTTTCAGCATAGCACATTGTGGGTCTCCTCAATTTCTGTCTTGCTTTGTTTAAAAAAACTAAAAGGAGAAAATGAATTATTGGGATACAACTACCTGCCTACTTAGTGGATATGGAAACTACACTAAAATGGTTTTAGTTTGCCCAAAAGAGCAAAGCAGTGGTGAGCCAGGTTGTTGAGGGGTCCATGATCCCAAGCTGTCACCCTTCCCTTCCTCAAATTCTGGCCTTCTTATTAATAGTCTGCCTCAGGGAATTTTGACAAGTGGAACTTTTCCTCCTATTCCCGCAGAGTTCAAGGAGCTAACATACATTAATGTAAATATACACAAATGAAGTTACATTGTTTAGAACAGCAGTGCTTCCTTCCAAATGATTATAAATTAAATCATGCTTGCAATGAGTTAGAAAAGTTTATCATGTTTAATAAATCTACTATAATTATGAAGGATTTTAAAAAGTACATTAATTTATCTGATGCATTCATTTTGCCACAGTTACGTCTATTTCAGCACAAGCTATTCTGCAACTGATTGTGTCACAGTAAAATATGTAGAGAAAGATTACAACAGACCTGCCCCATCTAGCATGGGGCTCATGTTAAGATCAGATGTAAAGCACTTCAGCATTATATTGATTATATGTTGGGGTAATGTTTGGATCTAGCATATCACATCCATTATATTGCAATTAGACTGTCCCCATTTTCATAACATGGTCCCTGGAAAATCGCACTGCATTTGTCTGTGTCTGTGGTTCACGTTCGACCACGTGGACAGTACTGGGTTAGAGGCTAGGGCCCGGGCCGGCCCTGGGGAGAGAGCTTGAGTGTGGCCGTCCCTCCCTTCCACCAGGTGGCACCCACACACAGTCCTGCAGAAACCCCTGAAGCCCTCCGCCCCAGCAAGAGCTGCAGCAGAGCACCGATGTCAGTGGTCAGAGTTAAAGGCGAGGCTGGGCCTCTGGCACAAGCCACCCAGCTCTGTGCTCATGTAAAGGATCTTCATTTATTAATACTTGCAATACTGGGGCCATGTGATTATAAAAATACCTAATTTATGTTACATCCTATGGTTCGCAAAGCTCATTCATATAGCCCTGTCCCACTTAGTCATCATGGCGATCTGGGAACACAGCCCACAGGCATCCTTGGACCATCACCCGCTGAGTAGATCGTCCCCATGAAATAAGCCAAGACACATTAGGCAGAGAGTTTCCTGGATGTTTGACTTTCTAATCCTGCCTCATGCCAATTTTGTGCAAAGGAAAATAATGTATGTTCAATTTGAGGAAAGCATCTGTTCCATTCTTAATATGTACATAGATCAATAAGTATTGGTCATGAAAGAGCAATTATTGACACCAGGTGTTTCTGGAGGTTAGTGCTTCTTGCATAGAGCCATCTCAAAATGAAATCTGCCACTTCTAGGAACCCAGTGTGTCCCCGTGTGGAGCTGTTATACTGGGGGCCACCATGAGGGAACTGCCTCATTGGAGATTGCTTGATTGTAGTAGACAAGGCTCTTTGAAAATGCTTTGAAATGGTTACTATAGAAACGTGTTTGTACTACAGTTGAAGTTTAACTGTTTTAGTAACTAATTGTAAAAGAAACTAGCCATAGAATAACTGATTTCACATTTGCTCTCACAAACAGAAGCCTAAGCCTCCTGAGCTCAGTATACAAACAGCCCTCAGGAGATCACCCTGCTGTGGGCTGCCTGTCCCTCTTCAGGCACGTCAGGATTCGATAAAGCTGAGCATATGTTTGGCTCTTCAGCATGATGCTCACTTAACAGAGGAGGTGAATACAAGCTTAGAACAAAAGTCTAGGTTCTGGCTGTGAATTGGAACTCAAATAACATCTGTACAGTCCTTAGCCTTGAATGGTGACATGAATAGTCTCAGATCTTGTCACACACCTTTCTTTTATGTTCTCTTGGCATTTCCACACCAATCCCATTGGTTTGAGGCGAGAACACCCTTCCTTGCCCTGTGGCTGGGATAGAAAAGTCAGGAACATGGACACTCAGCGCTGCCAGCTCCCAGCTCCCAGCTCCTCTCCCCTTTGGCTTTCGCTTCAGCGCGCCAAAGCAACTTGTTTGAAAGCAGCCTGTGTTCTTATATCCACAGTGTTCTCTGTCATTTTTTCCTTTTTGAATATATATTTATTTATTTGCATTTAAACTTCCTTGTTTATTTTCTCGCAATATAGGATCTCTCCCCTTGGGAGTGGTCACTATAGTTTTTCCACCACCAAATCACCCATAGTCCTCTGCCATGGTCCACCACACTCTCCTCCCCTTCTGTGCTCTACTCTTCCCTCCCTTTCCCTCCTGAGTGTCTCCGATCTAGTCTGCTTTCAAGGAATAATTGTACAGTATATCTTTGATCCTTTGGTTTCTCTAGATTCCACATATAGGTGAAACCATCTGGTATTTATCTTTTTCCTTCTAACTTATTTTGCTTGGCATAATGCCATCCAGCTCCACCAAATGGCATGAATTTGCCTTTTTTGATTGCTGAGTAGTATTCCATTGTGTATATAGACCACCCCTTCTTTTTATTTATTTATTTATTTATTTATCTATTTATTTATTTTTTGTGGGACCCTCGCCGGCGGCCGGGGAATGAACCGGCGCTGCAGAGGCCGTGGGCAGCCTCGCAGCCCAGCACTCAACTGCTGCGCCACCAGGGGAGCCCCTAGACCACCACTTCTTTATCCATTCATCTGTTCTGGGGCATTTAGATTGTGTCCATATCTTTGCTATTGTAAATTGTGCTACCATAAGCATAGGAGTGCAGGTTTCCTTTTGAATTAGTATCGTTTTTCAATATGGGTAGTTCAGAGAGCTTTCCTTTCTCAGAGACCTGTGTTGGGGTGGGGGGTGTGGTCAGCTAAGTTGGAGGGTTCGCTGACAGTATACATCTGCAGTTCATAAAGAAAATAACAAATAGTGCAGACTCCCATTTACTCCCAGCTTAAGTGAAACGCCTCATTGTGCTCTCTGGCTTCTGTCTATCTGTCATGTTAACACAGATCTAGAAAGAAAATAAAAAAATCTAGTTCAAATCTTTTTTTTTTTTTTTTTTTGATTTTTTTTCTAGTTCAAATCTTAATAAAAGAATTTTAAATAAGCACACATAAACATCAACATTTCACTGCACACAGTTGAGTTTGTATTTAATTCTCACAACTATTAAATTTTCTTACCTTCCAAGGGGTGTTGGTGACCTGGATAAGATCACATTGGACACAAAATTGTGACTAAATACTTTGTGCAGTTTTTATCCCACCCTCTAAGTCTGTTCCATGGTGCCCTCTGGTGGCTTCAATGTGCAGTGTTAAAATTAAATTAAAGCTAAGGCACTATTGTAGCTTTATTAAGTCTGGGCTCTTTTTTCGTGAGGTTCTTTTGTTTAATTGAATACAGATATCTCTTTCTTTTGTGCAGTTTTATTAAAATTTTATTATTGAACTTTTATGTTTATTGAAATATGTTTTATTTGAAAATTTCCCTATCTTCTATTAAAAACTAAAGTGTGCATCAAGAAGACGTTCTTTTTTTTTTTTTTTTTAAAGATTTATTTATTTATTTATGCAAGCACTGGGTACAGTCAAAAGCGTGGGAGGGTGAGAGAATTCACCAGAGCGGGGAACAGAACAGGCAGACTGATGAAATATACTGCTGAGGGGAGCAGCGGGTACGGCAGGAGAGGTCTGTCACACCATGTGGGACCCTCGCCAGTGGCCGGGGATCGAACTGGTGCTGCAGAGGCTGCGGGCAGCTTTGCAACCCAGCACTCAACCGCTGCTCCACCAGCGGTTGGCCCAAGGGGAGGCCCACCAAGGGAGGCCCAAGAAAAGGTTCTTTCTCCCAATTTATTTTTAATGAATTAAAGAATAGTAGGCACAATCCATAAGTCTGTGATGAAGAAAACATTGTCTTTACTATCTCTGGCTAAGAGGACAGTATTTCTGAGCTCTCCACATGGCTAAATTTTCTTTCCTCCCCCCAAATTTTATTAATCTGTCAGTTATTTACATAACTATGTAATTTGGGGGGTGCATGTCACCCCTTCTTATGTGAGCATGCTTTTTGCAGCCCCCACCAAAGTGCACGTGCCAGTGTCCTGTCCCTCCTCCCTTTCTCTGGTTCTTGCAGAGTTGCTTTACTTGAACTTGGTGCTGTGAGCTGCTCCATACCCTGCAAGAAGCCAGGCCCTTCCCTCGCCTGGCATGCTGTCACCCTGTGCTCACTCATGGTTATAACTCGCAGCCCCTGTGCCCCTTAGCCCTGTCAGCTTACATCCCCCTGGATCCTGGATCCCCCAAACTCTCTGCCTTCCCCCCCTTTCCTTTTTAAGTCCTGGCCCTCCTTGCCTTTCAAGTCCCAGCGGAAAAGTTCTCCCTGTCTCTGGGGGCCTTCCTTGACCCCCTATTTACTTAGACTCTTTTGTCAGGATTTTCCTCTGAATTTCTGCTAGTTTTTTTTTTTTTTTTTTAAATGACACTCTATGTGGTGGTGGTTGTACTTTATTTCTGTTTGGAAAAAAGTGACAGTTTTGTTGCCTGTTCTTTTTATGCAAGTGTGTCCAGCCCTAGAGCGTACCCATGTGAGAAATTGGTCCTGGTCTTACCTACCCACCCCCAGCTCTGTGTGCCGGGCGCAAATCAGAGCTTAGATGCAGTGAGGAGCCAAGACGCTGGAATCCAGCCACGATTATCTTGAAAGCCGTATGTTGGACATATTTCCAAATTTGGTTTTCTGATTTAATATGTACACAGAATGACCATAATCACCTTTGAATGGTAATGATCTTGGACCTTCTCCAGGTGACTATTACAGTTAGATTTTGTTGAACAGCAGCAGAGATACGGTATCGGATAAGGAATCCTACTACTCCCAAGATGTACCCCAGAAGTAGTGTTTTAATGGAAACCTTGTGAGGTCTGCCCTCTGCATCATTTGCCTCTCGCATGAGTAGCATATCAAAGGGAAATTAGGCATATGCCTGATCTCTGTTCCAGTTGACTTAGATGTACTTTGGAGCCTCCGCGTTCACCCATGTATAAATATCAAGTGCTAAACAAGTACATGACCTAAATCTGGAGATCATTTGGCAGATGATTTGCATCCACGTTCCCACCCATAAATCTGGGTAACAGAGAGTTCGGGGCCATCTCTGTTTGTTAAATGTCTTTACAGCCAAAATTTGTTTTTGGATGCTGAGACATGTTTTCTTTCCCTGCAGCCCTGTCAGTTTGAGCAGTGTATCGTCCATGCTCTACAGTCACTCAAGGGAGTACTGGAGTGCAAGCCTGGGGAAGCCAGTGTAAGTTCCCCATCACCTCTCCCAGTTCAGCATTGCCCAGGGAACCCCAACTGCTGACTCACCTTACTTCACTTTACCATGGAGGCTGTTGATTTCTGGTTCCATAAATACAAACATGAGCGTGAGGGTGGTGGGTCAGGAACTTGTACATTAACACGTTATCTGCCTGGGAATCCTCTGGCTTGGGTGTTGTAGGTTGGCAGCAGGCCCAAGCCCCAGCCAAGGACCAAACCCGCACTCATGTCCCTTCCCAGAGAAAGGTTACCCAGCCCTGGAAACAGTTTTCCATGGGCCAGCTGCGTAGATTGAACTTCATAAACAAAAAGTTTTATTTTCTCCCCTAAGTCCAACAATTTCCATCAAAATTCTTCTCTGCAGGTCTTTCAGCAAGCTAAGACACAGGAGGAAGTTTGCCAACTGAGCATAAATATCATGCAGGTAATATTTGAAAATAAGGATGGCCTGAAGCTTGAAATAATGCAAATTATTAGTCAATGCCCTATTACTTTATGATATACATATAAACGTAGATTAAATATGGACTCTTTTCTCATCTTGTCTGAGCCCATAATGGTTTATGGTAACTAAGGCAACAAAATAATGTGCAAAGCAAGGTTGATCCCAACTTATGTCAGGAGTACTCAATATTTCACTTACATCAGTGCTCCCCATTGCTGTGCTCTCGTGATATTTTATGTGTATTTCTGTTAAAGCACAGAGCAAATGACACTATCAGATTCTGTGACTGGGACCAGTGCTGTGTGGGCACAGGGAGGTGAGCATGTGAGTGAGTAAAGGAGAAAAAAGAAAAGGTCTTTTCCTTAAAATATATTCAAGAACTTAATAATTGACCAAAACATTGGTGCTTTCAATTTTTCTCTCATGCATTATATAGCAGGCCTTTGAATCGCTGTTGCATTCAGTGCTGTTTTGGTGTAATGTTGATGAGGGGAAAAGAAAACCCTAACTGACCTTAAAGTTATTTGAGTACCTGCTTTCCTTATACAGACTTGAAATCGCAGTTTCCAGGAACATGTCAGTGACATTGAGGGCTTATGTACATGGGCAAGATGTATATTCTTATTCTGTCACCATTGAGAAATGCACATACACTCATGCATGTGTATGTACATACATATGTGCATGCCATGTATAGGGTATATAGTTCTGTCTTCTGTTTGCATAAAATAATTTTTAATGTCCTAATAGATGCCTACCTAAGAGTCCATAGCACTGAAATTTCTTCCTTTTAGGTTTTTATATACTGTCTGGAACAGTTGAGCACCAAGCCTGATGCAGATATAGATACTACACAGTAAGTAAAGCTGGAATTTATCTCATTGCTGCATTAGAAGAATTAAAAATAGACACTGATGTTCCATATTTGGTCTTATTTCCTAAGAAAGTTTGTTCATATTACATTTTTACATACTTGATCTGTAGGTTTTGTGTAATTTTTCTACCTCCTGAAGGCATATTAACATGCAAATTAACACATGATTAGCTTACTTATTATCCAAGGGAACAAGTTTTATAACAATGGAATAGAAAATTAAAAGATAGGGGGCCTCCCTGGTGGCATTAGGGGTTAAGTTTCAGCTCTATCACGGCTTCCTGATCCCCAACCAGTAAGCTAATCCACACACGGAGCAGCAAACCTCCCTTGTCTCTCCTGTAGCTCCCCTCAGCAGTGTAGTTCAGTTGATCTGCCTGTTCTGCTCCCAACTCTATCTCTGGTGAATCCTCTCACCTCCCACACCTCTGGCCTGCACCCCAACTCTTCTACGCAAAATAAGAAAGAAAGAAAATTAAAATACGTAATTCCTCATTAGTAACGTTTACTATTCTGGTGTTAGGGGGCTATACCAATACTCTTATTAAATATTAGTTCTGTTAGCAGAGTTAAGTCTGGCATAGGCTTACATTATTTGAATTTCACAGGACACATCTTGATTCTTGATGTTTGCAAATCCATTTTATAATGTTCTTTTACACGGTTCTATAGAACTTCCTTTAAAAATCTGTATTTTTCTGAATGATTTTTGGCATCTTCCATGCGTCTAAGATTGATGCTCTGACACAAATAATGCTGAAATAAAGTCCTCATGGCTTTAAGAGGCAACTTGAGAACTTTTCCATGTTTGTCTAGTTTCAGGTATTGGTCTTGCTCCTCAGTATATAAGTGTCTATGACTGTCAGCTTTAATTTTTCTAGTTCTTTAATTTGGTTTTTTGTGTTTAATTCATTAATGTACCAGGAACTTATGTTGTTAATCCTGTTAACAACAACTAAGTGTTTCCTTCCTTATTGTTTTGTTGCAATTTCTGTTTTAAACATCTAGTTCTAATAAATAAGATAATATGTTTCTAAACCTTTCTTCTTTTTATTCACGTATTTTATGTCAGTTTGTGCTTTTTATTGTGTGTGTGTCCATTAAATCTTTTATTTATTTTTTAAATTATCATTCATTTATGTTTTAATGTTTTTCAGTTTGGTATCCAGTATTGCTTCTCTACTTTGAAATTTTATCTTATTTTTCATCTATTTAGTCTTTCTTATGAATTCTAAAATCAGTTGGTCAGATTTAAAGAAAATAATTCCTGCTAAGTGTTTCTGTTATATGATTCTGTTATATCTGTAAGTTCTATCTAGCCGATAGCTAGATATCTATATCTAATTTTATATCCTGGTCACTTGTGGTTTACCTACTCATTTCTTAACTTGACTATGTTTACCACTGAAGTGAGTTTGTAAAGTCTTCCTGCACATTCTAATATTTCAACTATGTGAATGGATATACCTGTGAATTAAATCATTGAGTATTTTTCACTGTTGGTGATTTGTTTTTGAATTTAATGAAGTCAATGTTGGAAAGACCCAAAAAGCAAAGTTCATTTGGTCCTTCTGAGTAGACAGACCATAGTATCTACTTTGAGCTGTTCCATGTTAAATGTAAAATACATAGTTATGCGATTTTTGACCAAAAGATTTTATAGTTAAATTTACCTAGGGTTCATTGCATTTTTTATTTTGATGCTTAACTGTAACTGTTCTCTTCCTTGCTTCTCTCTGTAGTCTTTCCATAGATGTTTCTTCTCCCGACTTGTTTGGAAGTATTCATGAAGACTTCACTTTAACTTCTGTAAGTGCGATGGTAATTAAGGTGATACCTAGAGAGTAAAACACCGTTTTTAAAATAATTTCATAACTATTTCCTAAATAAATCTAAATTACTTTGTTCCTGCATTGCTGTTAGATAGCATACTACTATGCACATTGTATCTTTATTATATTTTGTGAAAATTTTAATGAAAATATAATTTCATATATATACCATGCTTAAAAACCTTTTGTTTAAAGTTTGCAACTTAAGTAGCTTATGTGGTCTTGCATCATGCAGGTTCCTGAGTGTGATATAGGTGCCCTGGGGATTCCCTGATGAGTAGAAGTTAGAGAAGAAACAAAGGACAGTCCTGCTTCCTCCTTAACCAGAGATGCTCTGTCTTCCTTTTTTTCATGTCTAGAAGTTCCCTAATAGCATTATTTAAAATGCAGGTTTCTATGGTGAAAACACCCACCAAATTTACCTTTTTTATATACACATATATATACTTTTTTAAACACATTTAGGGATGATTCATACACATGCTTTGTCACAGGTATAATTTCATTGATCAAAATCCAAGCTCCAACTGTGGACTATGACAAAGCTATAAGAAAAGATGAAATATGACCATTTCAACAATGGAGGGGGTTTGAGAATTATATGCAGCAAAGCATGTCAGAACAATATAAACAAATACTGTGCATTCATATAATAGACAAAAGAGTAGTGAAATTATTGGCAGTGTTTGGCCACTTAGTTCAAGGAGTACGGCTCATCTTCAGTCCGTGTACTTTGAAGGACAGAGGCCTGTTCATCTCCACATTTATGATGTCAGCTTTAGGATACATTAGTCTGATCATATACAAAACAGTGAGAAAATATGGTTGTGAGTTTTTCCTGGAGAGTGGTTTTTACTGTAGTTTTTAGTCACGAGACCTTCAATTGAGGCCCTAAATTAGTCACGGCTGTTCTGGAGAAGACACCCTCGCACCTGAGGAGATAGAGAGCCAAGCCACAGGAGCAGCAGCAGACGCCATTCGCAGAATCCTCATGGCCAAATAGTTCCTCAGAGCTGTGAAGGGATGTTGTACTCCCTGGTCGGGGATTTGGAAATGTTGATAAGAAAATCTCTGTCGGGGACTTGACGTGACTTGGACCTTGGGGAGACATAGTGTGAGGTTCTGTCCTCCCATGGCTGATGCTGAGTCCTCCTCCAGAAGAGAGAGACAATTTCCAATAAAACTTACGGGTGGCCAGGGTGTTTTGAAGAAACTTGTCAAGTTATGAACAATTTGTTGGTTTTTCTAAGCATGTCTGCATTAGTGGTAGCTCTTCAGAAATTGTCATTTCTATAGGGTTTTTTGGTAAACAGAGTATTAGTAGACTCACCAGTAAGCAGCAGCCCTTTCATCAGAACTCAGCTGACCCGACTGTCCCAGGTTACTGCCTCTGTCCTTCCATGTGGCGTTCACTGAGCCTAGGACTCTAGAATTGTCTTCTGTCTCTCTCCCTTTTGATAGTGCAGAAGCAGCAGCCAAGAAAAAGGAAGTACTGAATACTGATCCTAAACATCAGATTATAATTAAATTTAATAGATTATCTGTCATAGCCTCAATATGTCCCAATAAATGTAATTTTCTACATATATGTTTTGCTTTCAGGAACAGCGACTTTTGATCGTCCTGAGCAATTGCTGCTATCTGGAACGTCACACCTTCCTCAACATAGCAGAGCATTTTGAAAAGCACGACTTCCAGGGCATAGAGAAAATAACCCAGGTGCTTAAATGACTTCAGACTTCTTTCCTTAGCACCCGCTTTCTTTTGCTTTCCTATACTTTCCCTCTCTGCTTCCCCCTGACACCATATCCCTTCCCTGTCATCACCCATTTGTCTTTGAATGATCCTTCATCCTTCTCATAATTCATCTTGAATCCTGAATGTAATATTCTCGTCTCTTGATCAGAGCTTTCTCAAGGTCAAAATTGCTGTCCACCTCATTTGTACAGTATCAGCCCGCACTCTAGATCATAACAGTGTTGTAAAGCAGTGTTGTTTCAATAAAAAAAAAAAAAATTCAATATAAAAACTGAGGAAAGAGACCTCCTTGATGGTCTAAGGATTATGTCTCAGTGCTGTCACCACTACAGCCTGAGTTCAGTCCCCAGCCAGGGAGCTGGCCCACACAGGGCAGAGCAGACCTCTCCTGTCTCCCCACTGCTCCCTTCAGCAGTGTATTTCAGTGGATCCGCCTGTTCTGCTCCCCACTCTGTCTCTGGTGAATCCCCTCAGCCCCCTGCACTTCTGGCCTACACCCCAGTTCTTTTATACTTAAATAAATCTTTTTTTTAAAGATTTATTTATGCATAGAAGAACTAGGGTACAGGCCAGAGCTGTGGGGGTTGAGAGGATTCACCAGAGACAGAGTGGGGGACAGAACAGGAAGATTGACTGAAATACACTGCTGAGGGGAGCAGCGGGTGAGTCAGGGGAGGTCTGCTGTGTCATGTGGGTAGCTCCCTGGGCAGGGATCTAACTGTGCTGCAGTGACTGCAGATAGCTTCATAGGTTGCATCTTAACCCCTTGTGCCACCAGGGAAGCCCTGCTTAAATAAATCTTTTCAAAAAAAAATTGAGAAAAGAAAATGAGAAAGGCATCAAATCCCTATGTTTAAGAATCACCTCAGATTTGGCTCCTTTTAGGTTTAACTTTTACTTGTCGCAGGAACACACTCCCTAGGTCCACAGAGAAGCCTCTTCCTGCTTCTTCACACCTCTTCTTCCTCTCTCTGTTTCCAGGTGACCACGTGATCCTTTTTGCTTTACTATTTTGGCCTGCCCCATAGGTGTTTGTGTGTGCAGATGCAACTGTAGGCTGCTTAATACCTTACATGAAAAATACTTTCTCCCCACTGATCATCCAGTCCTGAATGTAGCTGGGCAAACATGAGTTAGAAATCCATGGGGTTTTTAAAACTTTTAAAACTTCGTACTTTGTTGTTAATATTATTTCAAGTAAGCAGGAAAGGAAGACATGAAGCACCCTTGTCACCGAAGGTTCCTCAGCTCCTGGGCAAAGGTTTATCAGATTTCTCAGTAAAACTACGCCAGAACCACTTTTTAATGTCAGTACAGTTTTCTCAGTGCAAGGAAGGAAGATAATGATCTTGCTAATCTTATAGCCAAAAAAGTACTGTTGATGGATTGCATGCTTTTTACAAGTGATGGTTCCAGTTCATGAACTTGATGAGGGTTATTTTCAAAGAATGAAGGTGCCCAAGTGGGTGGCTTGTCTTGTTTTCCTGCCTTTTTGTAAAGATTAATCATCCTGATGAGAAATGTTGTGACTTGAGGCCAGAGGGCCAAATGTTGAATATATTTCCAGAAATTTCTGCATTGCAAAAGTTCAAAGGGCTGTCTTGCAGTAAGATGGTAGCATTTGTAGAGAGCAGACATTTTTATTTTTCTGGACACCCCAATCATGGCCTATATATACTTATTGGAGAATTTTTTATAATATATGAAATGGTTAGCAATTGCCTATAACAGAAGCAGTAAGTTTGGTTTTCACAGTCTTAGGTAGGAATTAAAAGTCTGTTGCTCTGTTTATATCATTGAGAAGCAGTGAACTTGGCATACATGTAGGTTTTGTTTTCCTTCCAAGTCTTTGTCCAGATCATTGCTAGACCAAGGTAATGTAATGGATTTGGGGGGTACAGCTTGGAACAAATGTTGGGCTATTGTGCCCACTCAGAATTTGGAATTTTTTAAATGAACCACTGAACACTTTAAAATTATTTGGTTTTGTCATGTATAATTGATGGGAAATTGCCCGCAGATCACACTGATCTTAAGCATTTTGACTCTTATTGCTGTTTATAATGTTTTGATTTGATAGGTGAAAATACTCTGTCATGGTATTTTAATCTGTGTGCCTTTCCCAACTTGGTTTGTTACTACTTTTTCAGGTGTTCACTGACTGGTTATAATCTAGAAGTGTTCATTGCAAAGGTACCAGGAAGGGCTAAGGAAATGCAGTTTTCCATTTTTAAGTTTGCAGACTAAACTTGCCACCAGTCATTAATTCTTTGAGCCTTTTGAAAAGGGAAAACCAGAGTTGTACTGTTAATAAATGTTAACATATAATTTCATTGTGGTAGCTATAACTATATAATTCCAAGAATTTTTTTCTTTTGGCATATATATAAAATGCTATTTTTAACCCATTCCCAGTATTTAAAAAGCAAACATTTCATTTAGAATTTGTGTAATTGTAGATTCTTGGCTCTATAGTCATTAAGTAAGTCTGTCATCAAATTCTTGATTGAGGTTTTATTTTAAGCCCTTGAATTTCTCTCAGAAATTCCAACATGGGGGTGGGGAGAGGCAGGTTTTTTTTTTTTTTTTTTTTAAATATGTCCAGGGAAGCTCCTTTACATAAGCACTCAATTTCAAAGAGTTTTTCTAGTCACTTGAACCATATGTACTATATTTTATGCTTTTATTTTTATCTTAAATATTACATATATTTGCTAAATTTCATTTGAAACCATTTAAATTTATTAGATGTGAATGACAGTAGCCTTGTACCCTTGCTGCATTACCTCTTTATGTTTGTCTTACTTCCCCCATCTCTTATAATATAAATTAACTGAATTTTGTTTAGAGGTTTGTTTTTTTTTTATTATTATTTATTTATTTATACAAGAACCGGGGTATAGGCCAGATCGCGGGAGGGTGAGAGAATTCACCAGAGACAGAGCAGGGAACAGAACAGCCAGACTGACGAAATACACTGCTGAGGGGAGCAGTGGACGAGACAGGAGAGGTCTGCTGCGCCATGTGGGACCCTCACCGGCGGCTGGGATCAGAACTGGTGCTGCAGAGGCTGAGCACAGCTTCACAGCGCAGCGCTCAACTGCCTGCGCCACCAGGGGAGGCCCTAGAGTTGGTTTTTATATAACCAATTAGTTGTAAATTAATTCATTCTGGAGCTTAAGGTTTTATACATAAGAATTAGAAGCTGGTGAAGTGTTTCCCGACAGCCTAAATACTACCTTAATTTTTTTTTTTTTGACCTTAATTTTTGGCAAAGAAAGTGTACTATCTCACATATATGTGGAATCATAAAAACAAACAAATCAAGTCCATGGAAACAGAGAACAGATTAGGTGGTTGAGGTGGGGGAGGAATGGGGAGGGTGGGTGAAATGGGATAAGGAGATCAAAATACAAACTTCCTATTATAAAATAAACAAGTCTCAGGTGAGCACTCTACCTCCTGGCAATGACAGCTTTAACACTGTATTGCACATTTGAAAGAGGCTTGAAAGAGGACAGAGAGTAGATCTCAGAAGTCCTTATCACAAGAAAAAATACTCTTTTGTGGTGACAATGGATGGGGACAGATGTAACCAGCCAGGCATAGATAGATTAATTCAGCAGGTACATCTATTTCAAATTTACATAATTCTTGAATTGGCTTTTTTTTTTTTTTTTTAAACAAAGTCGGCCTGTTTTCATTGGAGGCATCTATTCGGGAACCATTTTAGTCTCCTTAACATTCTCTCTTTGCTTCCCTAAGAGCCATAGCCTCTGAACTTACCATTTTATGTTTTCCTGTCTTTCGGCCCTACCTGTCTCTGACTTCCGTATGGACAGGGACTTTTTCCATCTAGCTCCCATTCATTGCTCTCAGTCAGTGCTTCCATGCTGGATGCCCTCCTCCTCCTCGCATCTCAAGTGGGTCAGGCTGGTGCAGTTAACATCTGTCCTCATCTGGTGTCCAAGTGCATCAGCGAAAAAAAGGGCATTTGGGATGATAATAATAATAATAATATAATAATAACAATAGCTATTAGCATTTACTCTACTCTGTTAATGTGCTACACAGTTTCATAAGTTGTCTGTTTAAATTCTACCAGCAAGGGCCACCCTGGTTGCCTAGAGGTTAAGTCTCAGCACTGTCACCTATAAGGCCTGAGTTTGATCCCCAGCCAGAGAGCTAAACCCACACATGGCACAGCAGACCTCTCCTGTCTCTCCCGCTGCTCCCTCAGCAGTGTATTTCAGTCAGTCCACCTGTTCTGTTCCCCACTCTGTCTCTGGTGAATCCTCTCACCCCTGTACCTCTGGCCTACACCCCACTTCTTCTACTAATAAGAATTAATAAAAGAAAATCTTTTTTGAAGAATGACATTGAAATGTATAGAACAATTATTGATGAAATTCATATGGAATCACCAAAAACCCCAAATAGCCAAAGCTCTCCTGAAAAAAAAAGAAGGGAATGGAGGCATCACACTCCCAGACTTCAAACTATACTACAAAGTCATAATCATCAAAACTGCATGGTATTGGAACAAGAACAGACACATAGACCAATGGAATCAAATAGAAAATCCAGAAATAAACCCACAGATTTATGGTCAACTAATCTTTGACAAAGGAGCAAAGAATATGCATTGGAGCAAAGAAAGTTTGTTCAATAAATGGTGCTGGGAAAACTGGGTCGCTACATGCAAAAGAATGAAGCTTGACTACTACCTCACACCATACACAAAAACCAACTCAAAATGGATTAAAGAACTAGACATAAGACCTGAAACCATAAAATACATAGAAGGAAATATAGGCGAAACACTACATGATATGCACATCAAAGACATCTTTACAGACACATCACCCAAAGCAGTGATAGTGAAGGCAAAGATCAACAGCTGGGACTACATCAAATTAAAGAGCTTCTGCACAGCAAAAGAGACAATAACCAAAACAAAGAGAAACCCCACCGACTGGGAGAACATCTTTGCACACAACACTAATGATAAAGGACTGATCACAAAAATCTGCAAAAAGCTGATGAGACTCAACAACAACAAAGAAAATAATCCAGTCAAAAAATGGGCAGAAGAGCTAAAAAGAAACTTCTCTAAAGAGGAAATGCAAATGGCCAACAGGCATATGAAAAAATGTTCAACATCACTTGTCATCAGGGAAATGCAAATCAAAACTACCATGAGATACCATCTTACACCAGTGAGAATGGCACATATTAAAAAAAACTAGCAACAACAAATGTTGGCGAGGGTGTGGAGAAAAAGGAACTCTCCTGCACTGTTGGTGGGAGTGCAAACTGGTCCAACCACTATGGAGAGCTGTGTGGAGATTTCTTGACCTACTAAACATAGAGCTTCCATAGGATCCAGCAATTCCACTCGTAGGTATTTACCCAAAGAACACAGAAACATCAATTCCAAAGAGCACCCGCACCCCTATGTTTATAGCAGCACTGTTTGCAATAGCTAAGCTTTGGAAACAACCCAAATGCCCAAAAATAGATGACTGGATCAAGAAGATGTGGTACATATACACCATGGAATATTACTCAGCATTCAAAAAAGATAAACACATGCAATTTGCAGCAACATGAATGGCGCTGGAAGGGATCATGCTCAGCGAAATAAGCCAGAAAGAAAAAGAAAAATACCGGATGGTCTCACTCATAGCAGGAATCTAGAAAACTTAAATAAGGGACCAGGAAAAAGAATAACTATAAGAAAGTAAAAATCAAAATCAACAAACAACTATGAACCAGAGACACTCTATGAGGGTGGGGGGCGGGGAGGGGAGGGATTGGGGTCCAAATAAGGGGGTTGCAATTGTATGGGGAATATAAAAATAAAATTTATATTAAAAAAAGAAAACAGAACAAAAAAACAAAAAAAAGGAAAGTCTTTTTAAAAATGCCTTGATTTAAAAAAACATTAATTCTAATAATAAGTAAATTCTCCCAGCAAAACTTAAGACGCAAGTGCTCTTGACCTTAACCCTACATTGTCATTGTCACGTGAACTCCACCACACTCTTTCCCTATTTCCTTCAACCTTTCTTAACCTTTTTTTTTTCCATTACAGTAAAACACATGACTCTTCCGTGTGCAAATTGGTGGCTTTCTCCAAAGAGCTGTGTTCACACCCATCAGGATACAAGACATTTCCCTTGGGTCCCACCCTAGACAGTTGGTACCTCTCCCCTCCGGTCAGCCTGTTCTTGAACATCCTGTAAAGTGGACTCATATAGCTTCATTTGCCCATCACCAGATAGCGATAATTATTTTTTAAAAAAGATTTATTTATTTTTACAAGAACTGGGGTACAGGCCAGAGGCACGGGAGGGCGAGAGAATTCACCAGAAAAAAGAGTCGGGAGAAGAACAGGCAGACCGACCAAAAACACTGCTGAGGGGAGCAGCAGGTGAGACAGAAGAGGTCTGCCATGTGGTTATCTCCCTGACTGGCTGAGAATTGAACCCTCACTACAGAGGCTGTGGACAGCTTCACAGCGCTGCGCTCAACCCACTGTGCCACCGGGGAGGCCCCGATGGCAATAATTATAGTAGTATCATATTTCCAGGAAAAATCTCAAAACATGCACCACAGAGCCTTTTGTGTCTGACTTCTTGTTGCTTCCACTTAATCATCTTTGGAGATCCAAATTGTATGTTTCCCAGTCATTTGTTTCTCTTATTGCTAAGCTGGGCAACCAAATTTGTTTCATGTTTCTCATGGTAATAGCTGCCTGTTAACATTTTTATATGGGAGTGGTCTTACATGGAAGTGGTCGTGTTCCTATTAGACATTGATTCTTTTTGGAAACCACTGAGTGGTTTCCCATTTTAGGCTGTTAGGGATAAGGCTGTTGTGAACCTTGCTGTAAAAGTCTCCTTGTGGACATTTGTATATATGTGATTGTGTGAATGTGTGTAAGGCATATATGATACACATATATAAAATATATATCTATATCTTGTCTTGGATTTGCTGGTCATGAGGTAGTCTGAATGCTGTTCCCAAGGGTCATCCCACAAGCACCAGCTATGTCCCAGTATCCCATGTCTCGTTGACTTTGTGCAATGTCATCATCATTCTTTTTCATTGTGGCCAATCTTGCTGTTTTAATTGGCTTCTATAAATAGTGACATCAAGTACCTTTTTTTGTGCATTCAGATATCTTCTTTGTTGAAGCGCCTGTTCAATTTTTTTGGCTTATTTTTCAGTTGGGTTGTTCTCCTTTCTATTAGTGAGGGACTTTCAGAAAACTGTGTAAGTCAGATATGTGGCTAGCATTTTGTGTTTATAATGGTGTCCTTTAATTAGAGATGTTTCATCTCAATGAGACCCAATTTGTCACCTTTTCAAAATGTTTCATGCCTCTCATGCTGTTAGTCTTATGAGCTGGTGCTTATGTTCCCTTCAGTTCTCACTTCCAGTAGAATCTCACACTCGTGTGTGTGTGTGTGTGTGTGTGTGTATAAGTGTGAAGGTGAGCAGTAGACCACAGTGGGGAGTAACTCTTATCATGCTAAATAACTGTGCTGAGAGTGGTCTTTAAATAAAAATAAATAAGGTGAAAATCAAGTTTTTATAGGAAAATTGATAAACACTTTTAACATACAGTGAAGTATTCGTTATTTATTTTGTTTTACTTTTCCTTTCTCCCTCAAATGGACAACTCGTAACTCTGCTTTATGACGTGTCTCCAGGTCAGCATGGCCTCACTAAAGGAATTAGACCAAAGACTCTTTGAAAATTACATTGAGTTGAAAGCAGATCCCATCGTCGGCTCCTTAGAACCTGGCATCTACGCGGGCTATTTTGATTGGAAAGACTGCCTGCCTCCAACAGGTAAAACTTTTCATGTTCCTGGAATCGAATGCATCTAGAGCAACAAATATGCATCTGCTGTTGTCAATTTATGTATTCTTAAAGCTCATTTCTTTTTATTCACATTTTTCTCATATTTACTGAGGGACTCATCTAATTTTAACTTTTTATTACCTTAGACACAATTTTTTTTTAACAATTTAAGAGTAGGCGCACTTTTTTATTAATACTTAGTGGCTTAAAGTTGCTCCTAAACACCAGAGAAGTAATTGCACATTATAAAATTGATCGCTTTAGTAACGCATGCATGCTTCCTGTGATACTCGTTGATTGCATAGTTGTAATAGACTGACAATGAATGACAGTTTTCTGCAATGACCTTGTTACTGTCATCAAAAAATTCACTGAAGAAATCTGGTCACTTCTGCATAAGACCTAATTATTGATGCTGAAAATGTGAACGACAGAAGGAAAACGTGTGGGAGTCAGATTATTATAGTAATTTAGCAAAGAAAATTGAACCACAGAAGGATAACTGACACAGTTCCAGTATTATCTTTGTGATATCAAATGAAAGTCAGTTAAATCACTTCATAATATATATTTAAAAACTATTGCTTTCTGAATCAGGTAAACCCTTTGATTGATCAAATACCACTTCTTTGTATGAAGGAGTATGGCCCACATAAAACCAAGCTGCCTATTAACATTTTTATGTGGGAGTGGCCTTACATGGAAATGGTTGTGTTCCTCTTAGGCATGGATTCTTTTTTGGAGACACACGCACGTATCTATGTAGAGGTACATTGTTAACAGCATTCATCTGCATTCTTTTGCCTAAATCTATTGTTTTCATTGTGTAATGCTTTCCTTAAATCGTGATAAATATTTTTCTCCTTAAGCACCTTTTTTTCCAAATTCCTTTTTCTTACTGAATTAGCATTGCACAGTCACACTGTATAAGTTCCAGGTATGCATCGTCAATCCTGTCATAATTATTTTTATAGAGCAGTACTACATGAATACTACATGAAATTCACCCCTAAAAGTACAGTTCTGTCCTTCACTGTATAATTGAGCCCTTTTACCCTCTGTCCTCATTTCCCTCACCTTTTCTGTGTGGTGGCCCCTAGTTTGGTCTCATAGCCTTGAAGTTCATTTTGTTTTATTTGTTCACTCACTGTTTTGTTTCTTTATGCACCATGAGTGAAATCACACACACTCTGCTTTCCAGAACGTCTTCCGCCTCACCTTGGCAGGCACATAGGAGAACTCTCATCCCTAATCTCTAGCCTACCTTTGTCCTGTGTGCAGTTCTGCAGCATGTTTGCAGTGTGTGTGTGTGTGTGTGTGTGTGTGTGTATGTATGTGTATACGTGTGCATATATGTGTATGTGTATGCATGTAGATGTGTCTGTATGTCTTTTTTCCTGTTTGGTGGAACTTTTTAAACCAAGATGTGAATAGAATCCTGTCATATATCGCCAGACTTCAAATTAATTATTTTTATAGAGCAGTGACTGTGAAAGGTTCAGAATTCCAAGCGCAGACATAAGAAGTGGGTTCAGCAAAATCTTATTCTCTGCCTGGGTAACAGTGGCCATGCTCAGACGCTGCCCCAGAGGGTGATCAGCACTCCGCTGGTGGTCAGTTTTCCAGCTCTTTCGAGTCACCACCCTGTCCTGTTTTCCTGATCATGGGGATCTAAACAGCTAGAGCTCAGCCCTGGTGACCAGCCTGATCACTGCATCCCCCTTCTGTCCATGATGGCTGGCGAGCTGCTTGCAGGAGCCACTTTGCTTCTCATTTGGTCCCTCCCTTGTCTATAACTTGTGGAAAAAGAAAGGCCCGGCCCTTGCTGTACCAGACTTTTGTGGAAATGGTCTACTAAGCCCATGTATCAAAAATAAAGGCATAGAGGGCCTCCCTGGTGGCGCAAGGGGTTAAGCACAGAACTATGAAGCAAGTGGCACATGTCAGTGCATTGACAGTGACTGATTTATAGTCCTGCTTAAGATTCCAGAAACACTTAGAAGCTGAGGGTGTTCGTTTCATTTTTATAAAGTGTGTTTAGTTGGTTCCTTGTGTAGTTTCGGCTATATAATCACTAACTGAACCTTAGTCCTGCATAGTCATATAGCGATTTGTAGTTTGTTTAAAGTTGACTTAAGTTGAGACCTCGTGTAAAGTGAATAGCCAAAATAATTTGACTGTTAGTCTTCTCAGGCAAACTCAATGAACAGTATTAGTGTTATCTTCAACAGTTTTTATCTCTAAAAGCTGAACTTTGCAAATCATATGGGTAACCGATTACTTATTGCTGTGGTTAGCAATAAATTTGGTTTCTGACATTGTATGTAGTAATTTTTAAAAAATAGTCCAGTTGATTAGTTTCATGATTCAAGCAGAGATATCCTTTAAAGCCATAGCTGTGCTTTTTTAATCTAACAGTTGAATATTTAAATTGTTGTCACCTCTTTATTTGTTTATATGTCAGTAAAGACTATTCTGGTAAGTTCTGAGTCACCTAACTGTTCTTATGATTTTAATTTTCCTATTATACATGGTTTTTAAGAGTTCTGATTACTGAACTGATTTTTCATTCAAAATACCTCTATATTATAATTTATTGAAATTACAATGGGAAGGAAAGACATATATGTCATGTATGACATGAATAGGCCTAGCCCCACTGCAGAAACGTTGTCACATAAAGAGTCAATTGCTGATGTCTAGGATGCCTATAATCCAGAGAAGAGCCATTTCCCATCCGTGGATGACATGTCAGCCCACAGGCCCATCATGTCCTCACGTGTGTGAGGAAGACTTGCCTGATGTCTGTTCTCAATGCAGTAAGGTCGGTAGCATATGCTGACAAGTTGGAGAAAGAGCAAACATAAATCTTAAATGGAGGCAAAGGCAGATGACAGGGCTTCTTAATCTGCATTTGCTCTGCACAAGGGAATTTCAGTTTTATTTTAAGATCTCTACCTCTTGGAATCTATCTTTTAGATTCTGTGGCTGTCTAACCTCTGAAGGAGCCATGGCACAATTAAGTTGGCTCTTATATCTTGTAATTTTAAATAATTCATGCTCAGGCCCATTTAGCATTTTGAGAGTATGAGAAAGATATCAGAGAAGGGAGAGAAAGAAAGTGGTGTCTTTGATTTTTCAGAAAATGGGGAATGACCTATCTCAAAGCTTGTGCTGCTCTTTGAAAAAAAATGAACCATTAAAATGCTTATGGGCCTTGACAAAATAATAATTGTCTACGTATGTGTGTATTTATACCCGTGCATGTATTAATATTCACACATTGCTGCACGTAATCAAGTGTACCCATAATAATGTTGTCAGCATTTATCGAGTATGGACTGTGTCAGGCAGAGGGCTTTACCCGACTTTTCTGATTTCATCTTCACAGCAGCAACCCAAGAAACACACTGTATTTTTATCCTCATTTAATAAATGAGGCCACAAGAGGCCATCCTGAGGCCACGTAGCTAGGATGCGGTGGGTGGACTGGGGTCAGGATGAACCCCCACCACCCCTGCTTTTGAGAGTGCTACACTGTGGTGCTTAGTGCCTGTGAAAAATGTGTTAGGTGGAAGCAGACACCCTGGTGGAAGAATGGGAACACATCAGGAAATTCGCAAAAGAACTAAAATAGCCAGTATGCTTAAAAAGATGCTAAAACTCATCAGTACTCAAGGAATGTAAATTCAAATAGCATTAAGTTGTCATTTTAAAAATCTCTCCATATTAGAAAATGTTTAAAAGGTTAATAGTTTTTGACAAAGGTGCTAAGAAATGAACTACCCTGTTGTCTTCCAGGAGTATAAATTGGCACAAGGATGTACCAACACATATGCATACATGTTTGTGGATGTGTGTGTGTACAGTTTACTTAGAAATCCTATTTTCAAGAGTTTATCTTAAGGAGAATATCAGACAGATATATATATATATATATATACACTTAATGTTTACTTAAGCACTTTTAATGTAAGTAATAAATAGAAAAAACAACCTAAATGCCCATTAGTTAATGGGTTAAATAAATTATTCTATACCCAAACAAATAAATACTGTGTATCTTTTATAACACATGAGAGGTACACACAGAGAGAGATTGTCCTTATGTTTGGTAGAAAACATGTTCTTTATTCTCTCATTTATATTTAAAAAGGCATATCATTTATAAACAGCATAGCTTACAATATATAATATGTATGTGTCATGTACAGATGTACCGTGACAATGAGTATAAAATAAAATTTCAGAAAAATTTAGTTTTCATCTAACATTTTGTGCTGTTTGAATATTTACAACAAGAACACATTTTGTATTTTAATTAGAAATGTATTCTTTAAAACTTCTCTGAAGAGGAAATGCAAATGGCCAACAGGCATATGAAAAAATGTTCAACATCACTTGTAATCAGGGAAATGCAAATCAAAACTACCATGAGATACCATCTTATACCAGTGAGAATGGCACATATTAAAAAAAACTAGCAACAACAAATGTTGGCGAGGGTGTAGAGAAAAAGGAACTCTCCTGCACTGTTGGTGGGAGTGCAAACTGGTCCAACCACTATGGAGAGCTGTGTGGAGATTTCTGGACCTACTAAACATAGAGCTTCCATAGGATCCGGCAATTCCACTCGTAGGTATTTACCCAAAGGACACAGAAACATCAATTCCAAAGAGCACCCGCACCCCTATGTTTATAGCAGCACTGTTTGCAATAGCTAAGCTTTGGAAACAACCCAAATGCCCAAAAATAGATGACTGGATCAAGAAGATGTGTAATATTCCATATACACCATGGAATATTACTCAGCATTCAAAAAAGATAAATGCATGCAATTTGCAGCAACATGGATGGCGCTAGAAGGGATCATGCTCAGTGAAATAAGCCAGAAAGAAAAAGAAAAATACCAGATGGTCTCACTCATAGCAGGAATCTAGAAAACTTAAATAAGGGACCAGGAAAAAGAATAACTATAAGAAAGTAAA